CAACCTCAAGAAATGGGGCCACAAAGTGGAATCCACAACATGCGAGTGTGGAGAAGAGCAAACCACTGACCACCTGCTGCAATGCACCCTGAACCCTGCCACATGCACCATGGAGGACCTCCTTGCAGCAACATCAGAAACACTCCAAGTGGCCAACTACTGGTCAAAGGACGTTTAATCAACTACCAAACTCACAAATTCTGTATTTTGTCTGTCTGTTTGTTTGTTTGTTTGTTTGTTTTGTTCTGTTAGAAATGTAATACAATTGACTGGTTTCCCTGGCACGACAAATAATTTTGAGAAATCAATGAAAAGCTGCCGATCTTCTTTAAATATGGGAGGGTTTGGCGACTGTATAAGCATAGTCCATTTGTCCATCTCCGCCAAGTCCAAATTTGCCTGGCATGTTAATAGACGGATGGACAGTTGTAATATTAAGAAAAACAACAGCATGAACAAGATGTGGGGAAACAATTACTCTTCCTATCAGTCTGCATTTCCCTTTAAATACGGACTGGCGCTCATCAAGTCCCTCCAGCATGGCTCCGATCTCATCATCAAAATAATTAACCGAAAACCCTCAGAGCTTTTCCTGCCACTATCTGTTGGGACACTCATAAGTTCGGGAAGCCAAGCCCAGATAATAACCAGATAATGAAGCTAGGTAAACAATTATCACACTGAGACATGTTTGTTTCGTTTTTCACTTTGAAGATACAGCCGTACCTGCGCCAGTGGTATGCTTCTCATGGAAAAATGCAGAAACATGATCCCCTTCCACACCTTAAATGAGCTTTAAACAAATCATTTTAATAGCATTGAGCATTTCCTCACTAATATATTTCTAGTCCTCTATTGATTCTTCATAAAATCAATACTTACAGTAATTCTAATTTGAATGTTTATATATTTTTGGGTTGTAAATTGTGTGGTTGAAGGCTTTCATGGCTGGAATCACGGGTTGCTGTGAGTTTTCCAGGCTGTATGGCCATGTTCCAGAGGCATTCTCTCCTGACGTTTCGCCCACATCTGAGAGAATGCCTTGGAACATGGCCACACAGCTTGGAAAACTCACAGCAACCCTGCATTGAACTGGTTGTTTTGTAAGCTGCTTGGAGAGAGAAAAGGCGAGGTATAAACAAATATAATAACAATGTCTACAACAATAAGCCGATTATCGGCTCACACCAGAGGACCAAGACATTTCTAGAGACAACATATTAAATCAAATCAACAGATGATCTAAAGTCAAAACTGCATGTGTCAAGGGATGATGGCTTTCTGGTGGTCTAATTTATGTTGCATGCACAAAACATATAACAATATTGTGAATAACCATCAGGCTATGTATACAAGGTAAATATGAAATATCAACAGATTTCATGTTCAGAGATGGGTCCCACCTCCAAGATATCTCATTATGTATATGAAGGGATCCCAAAATCCCTAAAACTTCAAGTCCCATCATCCATGGTCTGCCCTCCTCCAAACTGCAAAAGGCTGTAGAGTGGGTCATGGGGGCTCTGTGTGCCAAGTTTGATCTTTATCAGTCTTTGTTGGGGGCAAAGTGGTCTGTGGGAACCGATGCGTTTGAAAGTACTACAAATCCCATCAACTTTTGTCCATCCTCCCCCAAAACCTCACCAGGACGTAAAGGGGGTCATGGGGATTATGTGTGCCAAGATTGATCCAGGTCCATCACCCATGCTGGTCACAGTGGCCTGTGAAAGCGGGAGCCAATCAGAAAGCTGCCACATACACCATTCTCTCTCCGCATACAAACAAGGACTTTTATTATTTACATAGATGCATCACATGTGTATATTGTAAACCGCTCCGAGCCTTCGGAGAGTGGCGGTATATAAAATTGATTAAACAATATATATATATTGTTGCTGGAGGGAGGGGCTCCCAACTGATGAGCTAGAAGATATGGAATACTTTTGATACCAAATATTTTGGAGGATACTCAGCTGACTCCTAGGATGGCATTGGAGCACAACGAAAGCAATGGGAGACCTTTTGGAATATAAGCAAGCTGAAGAAATCGGGATCTTGGGAGAGAAGAATGGGCCTTGATGGGGGACCCCAACCAGGACAATGTATTTGTCTGCTGAAGGACCTTTGATTGCTTCCTTTTCCAAACACAAGGCTTTTTGATGGGCTTAATGCCATTACACACATGTCAAGCAGATTAGAAAATCACCAGAGGGGAAAATAATCAAACACCCTCCCAGATTAGTTCCAGGAGACTAGCTTGTGTTGGTTTGTGGCAGCAAAAAAAACCTCTCAAAAAACCAAAAAAGCATTTCCTTCATTCAAATCCGACCAAAACCCCAAGAGCTATGGTTTGGTCCCATTGCCGGGCTCCCGGGTATGGCGAGTTTCAGACTTGACCCCTCAGCTACATCTAGGGACGGGAGGCCGAAGCCTATGCTTAACTCGAAAGTAGCACTGTCACTCAGTTTAATAATAGGAACGTTTCCACGCTCAGAGGTTGCCTGAAGTGAACCGCTTGAATAAATCCGACTTTATTCTCAGGAGGGTGGAAAAAACTGGCAGCAGCATGGAAAACATTTCAGCGTTCCCACCAAAGCACGGCCCTCCCTCGAAAGAGCAAAACCAAGAGTCAGATTTTTCTTCCTGCGGCGGAGAAGGATACGAGGGCTGGATGAGCAAGTGGTAACATTTGAGTGATATTTGGACATTGATTAACGCTTGGGGCAAAGCAGCTTAAGGCTGAAGTAGGTGGCCTGCTAACAGTAGCAGCTTTCAGTACAACACAGCTATTCCGCAGCCCAAGAGGGACTCTTCAAATTACCCTATTTACTCAAATCTAATGCTCACCTTTTTGGGCTAAATGGCCTTGCCGGGATTTATAGTTCACCTACAATCAAAGAGCACTCTGAACTCCACCAACGATGGAATTGAACCAAACTTGGCACACAGAACTCTCATGACCAACAAAAAGTACTTGAAGGGTTTGGTGGACATTGACCTTGAGTTTGGGAGTTGTAGTTCACCTACATCCAGAGAGAACTGTGGACTCAAACAATGATGGATCTGGAGCAAACTTGGCACGAATACTCAATGTGCCCAAATGTGAACACTGGGAAAATAGACACTGAAGTTGTAGCTTGAACCAAACTTGGTACACAGAACTCCCATGAACAACAGAAAATACTTGAAGGGTTTGGTGGACATTGACCTTGAGTTTGGGAGTTGTAGTTCACCTACATCCAGAGAGAACTGTGGACTCAAACTATGATGGATCTGGAGCAAACTTGGCACGAATACTCAGTGTGCCCAAATGTGAACATTGGGAAAATAGACATTGAAGTTGTAGCTGCTGGGATTTGTAGTTAACCTACAATCAAAGAGCATTCTGCATGCCACCAATGATAGAATTGGGCCAAACTTCCCATACAGAACCCCCATGACCAACAGAAAATACGTTTTCTGATGGGCTTTGGCAACCCCTCTGACCCCCTCCCCCCTCGTGACCCCCCCAGGGGTCCCTACCCCCAGGTTGAGAAACATTGTTCTACAGCATAAATGCACCCCAAGATTTTCTTTTTCATTGCTGGAAGCTTTGGTGTCCTAATAATAATAATAATAATAATAATAATAATAATAATAATAATAATAATAATAAACTTCATTTATATCCCACCACCATCTCCCCAGTGGGGACTCGGAGCGGCTTACATGGGGCCAAGCCCAGACAACATTACAATAAAATAAAACAAAAACATAAACAACAATCAACATCATGATCAAAATTACATAGGAAGAAAAAAAAAGCACCCCAAAAACACAATCACGATAACAGTGGGCAGGCTGCATGTACAGGATAAATGAGATAAAATAGGAGCAAGTTATTTGAAGGAAGCTCATAAAAACAAACAGAGTTATAGAACTAAACTTCCATGTGGAGAGCGTGTACTCCAGTGGCAGAAGCGTTGAGGGGAGCAGATGTATCATGTTAAGAACCTGCTCACCAAAGGCGCAGTGGAAGAGCCAGGTTTTAAGATTCTTTTCGAACGTTTCTAGAGAAGGGGATTTCTCCAGGTAATGAGTTCCAGAGTCGGGGAGCCACAGAGGAGAAGGCTCTCTCCCTTGAAAACAAAAGTCCTAACACTTTTGTTTTCAAAGAAGGAGTTATAAGCAAGCAGGAACTGAAATGCACAACTTTTTCGGCCCAATTACAAAGAGCGCACTTTTTGCCCCTGCACATTACATTTGGCAGTAAATGCTCCTTTATTGGTTTCAGGGTTTTGAAAATCGAGGTGCAGATTAGATTCGATGGCACATTAGACTCAAGTCCCTATGAGTATTTTACAAATCCCTGCATCCTACAAAAGAGTAAGAGGGCCTGTCTTTCCCCCCAAGTCACCCTCCCGCAGCTGTTTAAACTAGGGGTCCTCAAACTTTTTAAACGAAAGGGCCAGGTCACAGTCCCTCAAACTGTTGGAGGGCCAGATTATAATTTGAAAAAAACATGAATGAATTCCTATGCACACTGCACATATCTTATTTGTAGTGCAAAACCCAATAAAAACAATACAATAATTAAAATGAAGAACAATTTTAACAAATATATTAGTATTTCAATGGGAAGTGTGGGTCTTCTTTTGGCTGATGAGATAGGATTGTTGTTGTTGTTGTGTGCTTTCAAGTTGTTTCAGACTTAGATTGACCCTGAACGAGGGCCGGGTAAATGACCTTGGCAGGTCGCATCTGGCCCCCGGGCCTTAGTTTGAGGACCCCTGGTTTAAACCATACTATGGAAGCACATTCTGGGCTCTTGGAGTGTAAAAAGTGCTGATGTCAATCTCCTCCCTCTACAACATCCTTGTTTGCGCCACATCACTTCCACCTTGCGCTATGCTGAGACTTCAGGTCGAAAGGCACATTCCCACTGCAGAAGTGCAGATGTGATCAGGAGAACAGAGATATATTAGGATACCATTGTTTACAATGCTCGTTTTTGGCCTTACCTGCATTCCAGGCACCTGCACGGCCACTGGAGAGTGGGCCATGGCTGCTGTCCCTCACGGCCTCCTCCTTGTGGCCTCCTGCTGCAGGGAAGCAGGTGCTGCTGCTACTTCTAGGGGTCTCCTCCTTGGCTGCAATGGGGTCTGCAAAAAGGGGGACGGGTGAAGGAGGAGAACAGACCTTTATTGGAAGGGAAGGCAAAAGAGGGGATACAAGCCCAGCAGATACCCTACCTCAACGTCCCTGGAAACTCATTCTAGCTTTACAATTTAAACCCCATTTGCGAGGAAGAGGAAGGAAGGAAGGAAGGGAGGAAGGAAGAAAAAGAGGGGAAGGAAACAAGGAAGCCGTAAGAAGAGGAGGAGGAAGAAGAGGAAGAAGAGGAAGGGAGGGAGCGAAAGAGTGTAAGGAAGGAAGGAAGGAAGGAAGGAAGGAAGGAAGGAAGGAAGGAAGGAAGGAAGGAAGGAAGGAAGGAAGGAAGAGAAAGTGGGGAAAGAAACAAGGAAGCCATAAGAAGAGGAGGAGGAAGAAGAGGAAGGAAAGAAGGAAGAGTGGAAGGAAAGAAGGAAGCTATAAGATGGGGTAACACACCCCTCATCCACACACACACACACACACACACACAAAACCTTAGCAACTTTTCTATGGGGAAGAACACAATCCCTAGGCCACCGCTCCTTTTAGCCACTAGTCTATGAGGAAGAACACAACACCTCATCCACAACGCCCCTAACTGCTAATCTATAGGAAGGAACACCCGCCCCACCACACAACCTCTGGGAAAAGGAAAATTACACAACCCCTCATCCGCACATACACCCCTTAGGAACTCTTCTATGGGGAAAAACTCTAGCCCACAGCTCCTTTTATTTAACCACTAGTCTATGGGGAAGAACACAACCCCTCATCCACAGTCCCCTGAACCCCTAGCCTATGGGGAAGGAGTGGAACAGACACAAGAAGCCCCACATCCACACACAAGGAGCCCCACATCCACACACAAGAAGCCCCTTAGCAACTCTTCTATGAGGAAGAACACAATCCCCCATCCACAATCCCTATGAATCCCTAACCTATGGGGAAGGAGAGGAACACAACCCCTCATCCACAGTTCTTCTGAACCCCTGGCCTATGGGGAAGGAGAGCAACATAATCCCAAATCCACACACAGGAAGCCTCCCCAGTCACTAGTCTATGGGGAAGAGCACAACCCCTCATCCCCAGTCCCCCTGAACCCTCAGCCTATAGGGAAGGAGAGAAACACAACCCCAAATCCACACACAAGAAGCCCCCTTAGCAACTCTTCTATGGGGAGGAACACAATCCCTCATCCACAATCCCCATGAATCCCTAGCCTATGGGGAAGGAGAGGAACACAACCCCTCATTCACACACAAGAAGCGCACTCAGCAACTCTTCTATGGGGAAGAACACAACCCCTCATCCACAGTTAGACTGAAGTCCTGGCCTATGGGGAAGGAGAGGAACACAATCCCAAATTCACACACAGGAAGCCTCCTCAGACAGTAATCTATGGGGAAGAGCACAACCCCTCATCCCCAGTCTCCCTGAACCCTCGGCCTATAGAGAAGGAGAGGAACACAACCCCAAATCCACACACAAGAAATCCCCTTAGCAACTTTTCTATGGGGAGGAACACAATCCCTCATCCACACATACACCCCTTAGCAACTCTTCTATGGGGAAGAACCCTAACCTACGGTCACTAGTCAATGGGGAAGAACAGAACCCCTCATCCACAGCCCCCTAAATCCCTGGCCTATCGGTAAAGGTGAGGAACACAACCCCAAATCCACACACAAGGAACCCCTTTAGCAACTCCTCTATGGGAAAGAACAGAACTCCTCATCCACAGCCCCCTGAACCCCTGGCCTAAGGGAAAAGGGGAGGAACACAACCCCAAATCCACACACAAGACCCCTTAGTAACTCTTCTATGGGGAAGAACACAAGCCCTCATCCACAGTCCCCTTGAACCCCTAGCCTATGGGCAAGCAAACCCCAAACCCACACACAAGAAGCCCACTTGGAAACTCTTCTATGGGGAAGAACACAACCCCTCATCCACAGCCTCCTGAATCCCTGGCCTGTGGGAAAAAGGGAGGAACACATCCCCAAATCCACATACAAGAAGCCTCCTTAGCAACTCTTCGAAGGGGAGGAGGACAACCCCAAATCCACACACATGAAGCCCCCTTAGTAACTCTTTTATGGGGAGGAGCACAACACCAAATCCACACACAAGACCTCTTAGCAACTCTTCTATGGGGAAGAACACAACCCCTCATGCAAAATCCCCCTGAACCCCTAGCCTATGGGGAAGGAGGGAAACACAACCAAAAATCCCCACACAAGAAGCCCCCTTAATAACTCTTCTATGGGGAGGAGCACAACCCCAAATCCACACACAAGAAGCCCCCTTAGTAAGTCTTCTATGGGGAGGAGCACAACCCCAAATCCACACACAAGAAGCCCCCTTAGTAACTCTTCTATGGGGAGGAGCACAACCCCAAATCCACACACAAGAAGCCCACTTGGCAACTCTTCTATGGGGAGGAACACAACCCCAAATCCACGCACAAGAAGCCCACTTGGCAACTCTTCTATGGGGAGGAATACAACCCCAAATCCACACACCAGAAGCCCACTTGGAAATCTTCTAGGGGGAAGAGCACAACCCCAAATCCACACACAAGAAGCCCTCTTAGTAAGTCTTCTATGGGGAGGAGCACAACCCCAAATCCACACACAAGAAGCCCCCTTAGTAACTCTTCTATGGGGAGGAGCACAACCCCAAATCCACACACAAGAAGCCCACTTGGCAACTCTTCTATGGGGAGGAGCACAACCCCAAATCCACACACAAGAAGCCCACTTGGCAACTCTTCTATGGGGAGGAACACAACCCCAAATCCACACACAAGAAGCCCACTTGGCAACTCTTCTATGGGGAGGAACCCCAAATCCACACACAAGAAGCCCACTTGGCAACTCTTCTATGGGGAGGAGCACAACCCCAAATCCACACACAAGAAGCCCACTTGGCAACTCTTCTATGGGGAGGAGCACAACCCCAAATCCACACACAAGAAGCCCTCTTAGTAAGTCTTCTATGGGGAGGAGCACAACCCCAAATCCACACACAAGAAGCCCCCTTAGTAAATCTTCTATGGGGAGGAGCACAACCCCAAATCCACACACAAGAAGCCCACTTGGCAACTCTTCTATGGGGAGGAGCACAACCCCAAATCCACACACAAGAAGCCCACTTGGCAACTCTTCTATGGGGAGGAATACAACCCCAAATCCACACACCAGAAGCCCACTTGGCAAATCTTCTAGGGGGAAGAGCACAACCCCAAATCCACACACAAGAAGCCCTCTTAGTAAGTCTTCTATGGGGAGGAGCACAACCCCAAATCCACACACAAGAAGCCCCCTTAGTAACTCTTCTATGGGGAGGAGCACAACCCCAAATCCACACACAAGAAGCCCACTTGGCAACTCTTCTATGGGGAGGAGCACAACCCCAAATCCACACACAAGAAGCCCACTTGGCAACTCTTCTATGGGGAGGAGCACAACCCCAAATCCACACACAAGAAGCCCACTTGGCAACTCTTCTATGGGGAGGAGCACAACCCCAAATCCACACACAAGAAGCCCACTTAGTAACTCTTCTATGGGGAGGAGCACAACCCCAAATCCACACACAAGAAGCCCACTTGGCAACTCTTCTATGGGGAGGAATACAACACCAAATCCACACACAAGTAACTCTTCTATGAGGAAGAGCACAACTCATGAATCCACACACAAGAAGCCCCTTTAGCAACTCTTCTATGGGGAGGAGCACAACCCCAAATCCACACACAAGTAACTCTTCTATGCGGAAGAACACAGCCCACAAATCCACACACAAGAAGCCCACTTGGCAACTCTTTTATGGGGAGGAACACAACCCCAAATCCACACACAAGTAACTCTTCTATGGGGAAGAACACAACCCACAAATCCACACACGAGAAGCCCACTTGGCAACTCTTCTATGGGGAGGAGCACAACCCCAAATCCACACACAAGAAGCCCACTTGGCAGCTCTTCTATGGGGAGGAACACAACCCCAAATCCACACACAACCCCTAATCCCCGAGGCCAGGCCTCACCTGGGCCTGCCTCTCTTTGCCTCTTCTTCTTCTTCTTCGTCTCCTTCCGGCGCCGAAGCCCATGACCCGCTCCCCCGGGCGGCGCGGAAGGAAGGGCCTCCTCCGTCTCAGGAGGACGCCATCATGGAGGGAAGGAGGGGAGGGAGGCCTAGGCCTCCGCCTCAGCCCCGGCCTCGAGTAGCGCGCTCCCCCTCTCTCTGCGCCTCCCTCCTTCGGTCAAAGGCGGCGGCGGCGGCGGCAGAAGTAGCAGCAACAGCGAAGGCCCGGCCTGCTTCTTTCCTCCTGGCGGCCTTCTCTTCTTCCCTTTCCCCCCTCCGCCGCCGCCTCGCCTCGCTCTTCTTGGCCTCGCCTCTTTCTCCTCAGCCTCCGCCCCTGAAGAGGGCAGGCCCAGGAGGAGAAGGAGGAGGAAAGAGAGGAGGAAGGAGGAAGGAGAAGAGGAGGAAGGAGAAGAGGAAGGGGGAAGAAAGGAGGAAACCATAAGAAGACGAAGGAGAAGAGGAAGGGGGAAGAAAGGAGGAAAAGAAGAGAAGGAGGGGAGAGGAAGGAAAGGAGAGAGAAAGAAGGCATAAAAAAGAAGGAAGGAGAGAGAAGACCATAAGAAGAAGGAAGGGGAAAGAAGAAGAAGGAAGCCATAAGAGGAGGAAGGAGAGTAAGGAAGGAAGGAGAGAGAAGAAGAAGGAAGGGGGAAGAAGGGTTGGAAGAAGAAGAAGGAAGGAAGCCATAAGAAAAGAGAATAGGAAGGGAAGGAAATAGAGAAGAAGGAAGGGAAGGGTAGGAAGAAGGAAGGAAGCCATAAGAAGAAGGAAGGGGGAAGAAGAGAAGGAAGGAGGAGGGGAGGAAGGAGAGAGAGAGGAGGAAGAAGGAAAGCATAAGAAGAAGGAAGGGGGAAGAAGAGGAGGAAGGAGACCAGGAAGGAAGGAAGAAGAGAGAAGAGGAAGAAGGGAGGAAAGCATAAGAAGAAGAAGGAAGGGGGAAGAAGGGTAGGAAGAAGAAGAAGGAAGGAAGGAAGCCATAAGAGAAGGAAGGGGAGAGAAGACCATAAGAAGAAGAAGAAGAAGGGTAGGAAGGAAGCCATAAGAGAAGGAAGGAGAGAGAAGACCATAAGAAGATGAAGGAAGGGGGGAAAGGGGTAGGAAGAAGAAGAAGGAAGGAAGGAACCCATAAGAGAAGGAAGGAGAGAGAAGAGGAAGGAGGAAGGAAACCATAAGAAGATGAAGGAAGGGGGAAGAAGAGGAGGAAGGAGAAGAGGAAGGAAGGAAGCCATAAGAAGAAGAAGGAAGCGGGAGGAGGGTAGGCAGAAGAAGAAGGATGGAAGCCATAAGATAAGGAAGGAGAGAGAAGAGGAAGAAGGAAGGAAACCATAAGAAGAAGAAGGAAGGAAAGTAGGAAGAAGAGGAGGAAAGAGAGCAAGGAAGGAAGGAGAGAGAAGAGGAGGAAGGAGGGAAGAAAGCATAAGAAGAAGGAAGGGGGGGAAAGGGTAGGAAGGAGAAGAAGAAGGAAAGAAGCCATAACAGAAGGAAGGAGAGAGAAAAGGAAGGAGGAAGGAAACCTTAAGAAGATGAAGGAAGGGGGAAGAAGAGGAAGGATGGAAGTTAGAACAAGAAAAGGCAGAAGAAGGAAGGAGAGAAAGGAAAGACATCATAAGAGAGAGATGGAAGAGGATGAAAAAGAGCAAGAAGAGAAAGAAGGAGAAAGAAAAGTGGAGGAAGGAGAGAGAAGAGGAGGAAAGAAGTCATAAGAAGGATAGGATGAGGAAGGAGGAAAGTAGAAGAGAAGAGGAGGAGGGGGGGGTGGAAGGACGTAAAGAAGGAAGCCAGAATAAGGGAAGGAAGGAGATAGAGAAGAGGAGGACAGATGAAAGTTAGAGCAAGAAAAGGAGGAAGGACAAAGAGAGAGAAGAGGAAGGAAGTCATAAGAGAGATGGAAGAGGAGGAAAAAGAGCAAGAAGGGAAGGAAGGAAGGAAGGAGAAAGAAAAGTGGAGGAAGGAGAGAGAGAGGAGGATGGAAGTTAGAACAAGAAAAGGCAGAAGAAGGAAGGAGAGAAAGACAGAGAGAGAGAAAAGGAAGGAAGTCATAAGAGAGAGATGGAAGAGGAGGAATAAGAGCAAGAAGGAAGGAAGGAGAAAGAAAAGTGGAGGAAGGAGAGAGAAGAGGAGGAAAGAAGTCATAAGAAGGATAGGATGAGGAAGGAGGGAAGGAAGAAGAGAAGAGGAGGGAGAAGGGATGGAAGTAAGTAAAGAAGGAAGCCAGAAGAGGAGGAAGAGGAAGAAGGGAAGGAAGCAGATAGAGAAGAGGAGGGAGGATGGAAGTTAGAACAAGAAAAGGCAGAAGAAGGAAGGAGAGACAGAGAAGAGAAAGAGAAAAAAGGAAGGGTCATAAGAGAGAGATGGAAGAGGAGGAAAAAGAGCGGGAAGGAAGGAAGGAGAAAGAAAAGTGGAGGAAGGAGAGAGAAGAGGAGGAAAGAAGTCATAAGAAGGATAGGATTAGGAAGGAGGGAAGGAAGAAGAGAAGAGGAGGAGGGAGAGGGGATGGAAGGAAGTAAAGAAGGAAGCCAGAAGAGGAGGAAGAGGAAGAAGGGAAGGAAGGAGATGGAGAAGTGGAGGAAGGATGGAAGTTAGAACAAGAAAAGGGAAAAGAAGGAAGGAGAGAATGACAGAGAAGAGAAAGAGAAAAAAGGAAGGAAGTCATAAGAGAGAGATGGAAGAGGAGGAAAAAGAGCGGGAAGGAAGGAAGGAGAAAGAAAAGTGGAGGAAGGAGAGAGAAGAGGACGAAAGAAGTCATAAGAAGGATAGGATGAGGAAGGAGGGAAGGAAGAAGAGGAGGAGGGAGAGGGGATGGAAGGACGTAAAGAAGGAAGACAAGAGGAAGAAGGGAAGGAAGGACGTAAAGAAGGAAGACAGAAGAGGAAGAAGGGAAAGAAGGACGTAAAGAAGGAAGACAGAAGAGGAAGAAGGGAAGGAAGGAGATAGAGAAGAGGAGGAAGATGGAAAGAAGTCAAGAAAAAAAAGGAAGGAAGGACAGAGAGGGAGAAAAGGAAGGAAGTCATAAGAAAGGTGGAAGAGGAGGAAAAAGAGCAAGAAGGAAAGGAAGGAAGGAGAAGGAAAAGTGGAGGGAGAAGAGGAGGAAGGAAGCTATAAGAAGAGGAGGAGAAAGAGAGGGAAGGAAGAAAGGAGAGAAGAGGAGGGTGGGAGGGAGGAAGGAAGCCCTGGTTTCTTGTTTTGTTTTTACTTTGCAATGCTATGGAATCCTGAGAGTTGTAGTTTGTCAGGGTCTTTATCCCTCTCTGCCAAAGAGAATTAGAATTGCACTGCATTGAGCCTGGCAGTCCAAGTGCTGTCAAACCACATTAAATCTACAGTGTGGATGCGCCCTGTGGCACAACTTTTGACTGCATCCACAGCAGTGAAAGACAGTACTGTAAGTGAAAACATATTGCGGTTCTCCGTCCAATTTGGTTATTTTCCACTCCGCCAAAATGGATGGCATTTAGGCTATTTTTAGCCTGTGGGTCCAAGGAGGCCAGCAGGAAATTCAGGATTTGAAAGCGGACTGAACGGAATGGGAATACTGTAAAAGTGAATAAACATAGGGAGGGATTCCAAACATTGGGGAAACTCAGCTCCTGAAATAGGGATTTGACTCAATGGACGCTCTGAAACCCAATGAATGCATACCTTTGAATGTTCCCCAAACGTTGCCAACTACAATTAAATTTGGGCTCTATTGCAAAAAATAAATAAACCCACCCCAAAACATACTTGACAGTGACTTTTTTATTTAATGTAAAATCAACAAAGACTGGCTTTGCACAGGACCACAAAATGTTCTGCCTGGAAGAGTGGGATGGGGATCAATGGCCAAGAATAAGGAATATTGTTGTGCGGGAAGTTTGGATCGAAACAACAACAAATGCATTTAGCTTGGATGGAAATGATGTGTTTTAAAACAGGGGTCCTCAAACTTTTTAAGCCAAGTTTGCAGTTCCTCATAGAATCGTAGAGTTGGAAGAGACGTCATGGACCATCCAGTCCAACCCCCCGCCAAGAAGCAGGAAAATTGCCCCACTCAGAGCTCCCTCCCTCTTGGACCCTTGGCACCCCCTTACTCAGGAAGACCTGCCCCTTGTTTGCCAAGAGGCCAGAGGGGGATTAGCCGAGTAGGTGAAGGTAGTGGTTAATGCTTCCCTTCAGGAAGGCAATATTCCAGCGTACTTAAAACAAGCTGTTATTAAACCGCTGTTGAAGAAACCATCATTGGACCCCACTCAATTCGTCAACTATCGGCCTATTTCCAATCTCCCCTTCTTGGGCAAAGTCTTGGAATGTGTGGTGGCCTCACAACTCCAGGTATTCTTGGACGACACGGACTATCTGGATCTGGCACAGTCGAGCTTTAGACCGGGACATGGAACCGAGACAGACTTGGTCGCCTTAGTTGATGATCTGCGCCGGGAGCTAGACAGAGGGAGTGTGTCCCTGTTAGTTCTGCTGGACCTCTCAGCGGCCTTCGATACCGTTGACCACAGTATCCTTCTGGGATGCCTCGCTGGAATGTGACTGGGAGGCACTGTTTTGCAGTGGCTCCAGTCCTTTCTGGAGGGTCGTACCCAGATGGTGTGATTGGGGGACACCTGTTCAACTCCACAACCATTGTCTTGTGGAGTTCCTCAGGGCTCCATACTGTCCCCCATGTTGTTCAACATATACATGAAGCCACTGGGGGAGATCATCCAGAGTTTCGGGGTACGGTGCCATCTGTACGCTGATGACGTCCAACTCTGTCACTCCTTCCCACCTGCTACTAAGGAGGCTGTCCAGGTCCTGAACCGGTGTTTGGCTGCTGTGACGATCTGGATGAAGGCTAACAAATTGAAATTGAATCCAGACAAGACAGAGGTACTCCTGGTCAGTTGCAAGGCCGAACAGGGTGTAGGGTTACAGCCTGTGTTGGACGGGATTACACTCCCCCTGAAGACGCAGGTTCGCAGTCTGGGTGTGATCCTGGACTCATCGCTGAGCCTGGAACCCCAGGTCTCGGCGGTGACCAGGGGAGCATTCACACAATTAAAGCTTGTGCGCCAGCTGTGCCCGTACCTTGGGAAGTCTGACTTGGCCATGGTAGTCCACGCTCTGGTTACATCCCGTATAGACTACTGCAACGCTCTCTACGTGGGGTTGCCTTTGAAGACTGTCTGGAAGCTTCAATTGGTCCAACAGACAGCAGCCAGATTGCTAACTGGAGCGGCTCTCAGGGAGCATACAACCCCCTGTTGCGCCAGCTCCACTGGCTGCCAGTTTGCTACCGATAGGCTGAGAAAGGCGGTATA